CGTTGTAGGGCTTAGCTTGCAGCTTCATTGCTGCGTTTCCCTCACTTCCCCTTATCAGTGATGAATGTAGTCACCAATCAGAACGTGTATTCCCATTGAGTCTTAGTCTTAGAACGGGGTTTGCCTTGATGTCTCCTGGGTGAGCCACTTGTTTGTTCTTGTGGTAATCAGTCGGTCTGCCTATATTGTTTTCCATTTTTCCTGTCGTTTTTTGTTTCAAGAAGTATCTTCTGTTCTGGCCGCTCCAGGCCTTTTCTTAACTTTTTACAACATTGGTCTCATATTTGTGTTTTTGTGGCTAATTTCACTTTTCATAATGTCCTTCAAGTTCATCCATATTGTGAGGTGTTTTGCAGATTTGTTATTCTTCGATATAGCATAGTATTCGTTTGTATGTATGTACCAAAGTTTGTTTAACCATTCTTCTGTTGATGGGCATTTAGGCTCTCTCCATCTATTTGATGTGTCATTTACAGACATTTTATATTGAAGGATCATGTTTTCTTATCCATTCTATTATCTTTTTAAGCCATTTACACTCAGTGTAATTATTGATAGGAATGAATTGAATGCTTTTTGCTATGGGTTTTTTTTGTGTGTGTGTTGCTGCTGGTTTCTTGGTTTCATGTAATTTTCTGCACTGAGTTCATTTTGTTTGTGTGTTTTCTTTGCACTTTCAATTATGTTGTGTTAATGCTTACTAGGAGTCCTGGTGTGGTGCTGTGGATTAATGCACCAGACTGCAAAGCCATTTGAACTGCAAGGTATGGGAGGTATGTGACAGCAGAGTTTCTGGCCCTTGATGGAGCTGGTTTCAGTCTGTTAGGATTACAGGGCAGCTGGGGGCAGAGCAACTGGGTAAATGCTGGTCTGATAGTTCGGCAGGTTCTGTTTATCTGGAGCAGAGCTTGTCTGAAACCAGAAACCACAATGGCGCATTGAAGAGGCAGCTGGCCCCTACCTCTGAATCCCTGGATTTGAGCTAGGAGTGGAAGAGGGTCAGAGGTGACATGGAGAAAAGAAGAAATCATACCTTTCCTGCCTTGTGTGTGTGAATATGCTGTCAGGCTACCTTCTGTTGACAAAGCTGCTTCCAAGATGGTTACACTGTGCCTGATCAGCTATATATGTTTGCCTCCCTTTCTCGCTATTCCAGCTGAGCTCCCAGCATTCAATCAGTCCATTTCTCTAACCTTTTTTCTGAAGTTCAGGATTCCAGGATTTTTATCTCTTTCATTTGGTCTGTCATATCTTTGTTTTTATGTGCCATTGAGTCAGTTCTGACCCATAGCGACCCATGTAGGGTTTTGAAGAGCAGCTGGTGAGCTTGAACCACTGACTTTGCAGTTCAAATTGACCTTGCAGTCCAGTACATTAACCCAGAGGGCCACACCAGGACTCCAGTATCTTTGTTGTAGAGGGTCTGTATTGTGTGTCTGCCTAGTCTGCCATCTTACTGGAAGTCCAGAGTCTGTTTTTATATTAATAGTGATAAAAGGAAGGACTCATTTTGAGTCCTGGCTCTTATTTCCTCTGTGCAAAAATTTTTACATCTGTAACATTTACCTACTTCATGGGAATATTAATGATTACATATGGTATGTTGTAGTTATGAGCCGCAAGTCAGTTCAGACAAACCTGTATAGGGTTTCCAAGGAGCAGCTAGTGAATTTGAACCACTGACATGTGGTTCAAACTGACCTTGCGGTCCAATTTATTATCCACACTGGGACTGCACAATATGGTATAGTGACTTCTAGTCCCAGTCTTTGTAACTCCAATCATATGACACATTTCCTGATGGTTCTGGGTAAGAGAAGATGGAAGACATTGATAGGATGACAAGAGTCAGTTCTGGATGTTAACAGAGAGTTAATTGTAATTGTGTAGAATGAGTCATCTCACAAGTATGTGGGTGGAATCTCACGAGGGGAGTGCATCCTTTGGCCCCTGGGATCTCTGCACATTTAAACCTCGTTGACATAGAGCTGTGTCACTGGAGTGAAAGAAGAGCAGTAGCAGCAGGACCAAGAGCCAGAGCACAAGACAGAGCGAGTGATGGGCTTCCCAGCCCATGCAGCAAGTAAAACTATGGGCATTAGGCTTGCTTACAGAGTAGGGAACCTCAAGACATTTAATTGGTGGATGTTGCTTTGGTGATCCATGGAGTCAGAGCCAAGTGCCTTTAGACTGAGCCTTCTGGTAGAGTGGTGTGTTAGCAGCAGCCCTAAAAGCGCTTTTAAAAATTTGTTGGGCAGAGAAAGGCCTGCCTGTGGGCACAGCTAAGGGGAGACTGTCCTGACTGTAACTGTCCCTGAGCATTTCTGACTGAATTGTAACTTGTTGACACCCTGATAAGCCCTTTAACTCTTGAAGTCTGTGTGACTATTGCAATGAATTATCAGTCCCAGTTGAGTGCTGTTAGGGATGGTGGTGGTGGTTGTTGTGATTACGTGCCATGGAGTCGATTTCGACTCATAGTGACCCTGTACAGTTTCTGAGGCTGTAAATCTTTATGGGATTAAAAAGCCTCATCTTTCTACCGTGGAACAGCTGGTAGTTTCAAACTGCTGACCTTGAGGTTCGCAGGCGCTGTGGGTTAATGCGCCAGACTGCAAAGCTGTTTTAACTGCAGGGTGGGCGGTTCATGCTTACAAGCTGCTCCTTGGAATCCCTATACATGGCCACTGTGGGTCAGAACCAACTCCACGGCACTTAATAACGCTACCAGAGCTCCTTGCTGTTAAGGGATACTATGCTGTAATTCATTTTATAGGGTTGGTGTCAGAAGTAGGGTCCATTACAATGGTTCATGATAGTATGGGGCTTTGTAAGATAATGAAAGGGGCATGGGAAGTAAAACTTTTGGTTCTTTTGATGGTTACTTTGGTTATCTGTAATAGCTGAAAGAGATGTTACGCTATAACTTAATGGAGAAAATCTGTTACTGGAATCAAAAGCCTAGCTTGTAAACAAGATGATTAATAGAGGAGAGGGTAAGGGCCTACTTGCCAGCAGAGACCCAAGGCCTTTTGCCCATCTATGACAGAAATAAATATTGGGTGTCATAATTACACAGAGCTTGTAAACCCACTTTGTCTATATACTTGACTGGATATCCTATAAAGGGAATTACAAATTGCCCAAATAAATAGACATTTTGTTTTAAACCTTTCTTTGAGGGTTATGAGGGATGGTCGTCCTCTTTTTCCCTGAAACTCTACTCTTCCAAGCATAATGTCTTTCTCCAGGGACTGGTCCCTTTTGACAATGTTAGAAGTACAAGGGATGAAGTCTCACCATTGTGAGTTCTAAGGAACATTCTGGCTGTACATCCCATAAATGTTTATTTGTTCTTCGGCAGTCTGTGAGACTTTTAATATTCTTTAACACCATAATTCAAATGCATCAGTTCTTCTATAGTATTCCTTATACATTGTCACATGCATATGAGGTGATTAAAAATATTATGTCTTTGTTCTCCATTTCTAATGATGTTATTTACTGGTCCTGCTGTGAGGATTTTTGTTTTCTTTACATTGAGATGCAATTCATACTGAAAGTTATGTTATCAGTATTTCAAATCCTTCCTCTTCACTTTTCAGCAATCAAGGTAGTGTCATATTCATATTGAAGGCTGAGTCCTCCTCCAAGCATGATGTCACTTCTTCATATAATCCACCTTCTCAGATTATTTGTTCAGCAAATATTTGAATAAGCATGGTAAAAGGATACAACTCTGGCACACATCTTTAATGATTTTAAAGCAGTCATTATCAATTGGTTATAAATGCAGTATCAACTGGGTTGATAGGAATGGGCAGTGTAGACCTTGGGTCTCTAAAATGAGATAAAAGCATGAAGTGCTTATAAGCTTTCATGAGTCTGCTTACAGTTAAACTGATATGAGGAAAAGGACAATTGACTGTGGTATAGTGACTTACTTATATGCCTTTTAGCCTTAGTGTCTGTAGCTCCCACCAAGTGATACATTTCCTTGAAAAGGTGGGAGAAGATACTAACAGCATGATGATTCAGCTGTGGATGTTAACTGAGTTAATTATAAAACGACACTCTAGCATAGGTATAAAATGAGTCATCTCAGAAGCGGGGAAGGGGGACCTCACTACCATCAAACAACATTCAGAATGGGAGCATGTCCTTGGAAGTTGAGATTTTCACCCAGTTAAAATGTGAAAATGCCTTTTAAAAGTACCTGGCATTTAAAAAGTGGCTAAACATAGTTTCTATTAATAATTCATTGTAATTTCTTAAACTAAAGAAAATAGGCTTAGGCAAGAATGTCAGATGGTCTGAAATACAATGCAGTATTTATTTTATCTTTATTCTAAGATAATTTTTTTCTTAGAAAAATACCTCTGGACAAGTTCAGTAAAAGAAAAAATAAACGATAGAAAGTCATGCCTTTTATATTAGAGTGGGAGACAAATATTTACATTGTATATTTACATACTTGTCTTTTTCTAGTACAGCTGCCTGAAGTTACTATAAATGAAGAAACTGCTTTAGCAGAAGTTAATTTAAAGAAGAAAAGTCATTTGAATATTAGAAGTTACCCAGTTGCAACTTCCTTTGCCATATTTGATGAGTAAGTTAGTCAGATACCATGTTACTGAGCGTTCTAACTTTTCCCTGGACACCTGAGTTTATAGCTATTGTCACTGAAGTTATTATTAGCCAGCCTTTGTTCTTTGTCAAGTACCTGGATTTGGAGGATCGGTTCTTACTCACCCTAACTTGGTTTGCTTATTCTCATAGAATGCTAATTTTCTGTTCTCACTAAAGCTTTACCTGAGGTTACTTTCAGTATTTGCCAAGACCTTTAATATATCCATAAACTGAAAGGCAAACATTCTTACACAAACTTTTCTGCCAGTTCTGTTCTAGCTCTTGTATCCAAAATCCAGGTGTATTAAGTTTTTTAAAGATTTTTTTTTATATTAAAACATAATTGCTAAGTTTAGTTTTTAACAAAAATTTTTTGGATGGAGTAATAATTCCTTCCCTCCCCCCACCCCCCCAACAGTACTTTACTTATAGTTGACCCTACTGGAGAGGAGGAGCATCTGGCAACTGGAACCTTGACTATAGTAATGGATGAGAGAGGCAAGCTAGACTGTCTTCACAAACCAGGCATGTTTCTTTCATTTCAGTCCTAAACATATATTGATGAAAATTTTGTGAGCTTCTGCAAATTATTGTAGTTAACGTGCTGATGAGGAAGTGGAATGTGTCAATGTTAATTTACTAGTTTCCTTGCTACCTGAAATTCCTCACAGTTTTATGCTATATACCAGTGGTTCTTAAACTCTGACAAGGTCTTGTTAAATAAAATAGGAACTGGTATTTCTTACAAGTTCACAGATAATACGGATGCTGCTAGTATCATTGCTGTATATTGTCATTTCAAAAAAAAAAATAAAAATAAAAAATGACATATTGATCTTTTTACAAAGTTATATGGAGATTAAAAATGTGAATTTTCCAGGTGGAAGTGGGCTGACAGGCACTAAACTTCAGGACTGTATGAACCGAGCCATGACAAGACACAAAGAAGTAAAAAAACTGATGGATGAAGTATTTCAGAGTATGAAACCTAATTAAAACCACATTTTCAACACATATTTATAAAAATTATATTTGTTAGCATTGTGCACAGACCTTTTATATGAAATAAATATCAAGCTACATTCTTCTGAAAGAAGTTTCCAGTCACTTGTGTATATATACTATGTACAGTAAAACCTTTTCTCAAAAAAGCAATGACTTAGGCAAACCAATCCTAGATGTTAAATCATTTACCTGTTTTTATTTAAAAATCACAGGTTTGTGCTTCTATATAAAGTTTGTACATCTAGCAATGTAAAATACTGACACATTAAAAAAACAACCAAAAAAACAAAAATGAATTAAAAACAAATTCCTTTTGATTCAATGCTCTTGTTTTTTCAAAGAGGAAAAAATAAATAATGCTCAAGACTCAGAATTTTGGAGTGGTTGGTGTGCCTCTTTTCATTTTACTTTTTGACTGGTTGCCTGTATGCTGATGATGATGGAGCTGGGCTGTTTGTGCTGCTGCCGCCGCCATAGACATTTGATGCTGCAAGAATCGCAACTGCTGTGAAAAGAAGAGGGAAAAATGTGTTAAATGTAGGGGAGTATGGACAGATGCTTTCCTTGGTGACAAATAACTGAAAGGAAAAACGCACCAAGGAATGAAGATTAATAGAGACAATGCACAGTCAAACAGCACCAGTGGCACAGAAGCCTGCTAAAGGCTTTAAAAAATGACTCTTGGAAAAAAAAAAAAATGTGACTTTGCCTTGTCAGTCTACATTGCAGTAACTCAGCAACTTCAGTTACCATTTTGTTGTATGATAATCATTTAGATAGTCAACTATAATGTGCTGATTTTACCTCTAAAATTAATAATATTTTTCTAAGTAAACAGGTGTGATATTTACTAACAGGAACACTGGTATGCTTGCATTTTCTGCAGTATAATATTAAAAAGTTAACAACTGGCACAATAGTCCATTTCAAAATATACTTGAAACTAGAAAACATTTAGTAATTTGCCACCAGTACTTCATGAGAGATTTTACATTAGAACAGTATGGCTTTAAGGTACAAAATATATTCAGTGCTCCAAGATGACTACCTAAAATGTCAAATGTCTTTAAAAAAATCTGCTAAATAATTTACTGTTTATTCTATAAAAAAAGACAGTAAAACAAAAATAAAGCAAAGTACGAAGGGTTTTTAAAAGCACATGAAAAATACCTATCTTTTAATTCCATTTTTCCAAGAACTTTTGAAACCCCTCACATACTTTTGGAGTGAAGTATTTTATCTTAAAAAATGTACTAAAGTGAAGTTGCTGGATTACTTGTATCTGTTGCTGCTGCTGTTGAAAGGCAGAGGAGAGCTGGAATCTCTGAGGAAGGGTTTGCTCAGGTCTTTTCTCGGCAGAGCCAAGCTGAGACAACACTACAGAGAGGAGAAGGGGAAAGTGGGCCAGTCAGAAAGTTTGAAGGCTGTCAAGGGTTAGAAAAAGGACAACATAGAAAATGAAATAGAAAAGTTATCAGTATGATTAATCTTAAGTATCAAATCACAGATATTTCAGAGTAAGTTTAGTATTATAGTCTCCAGTTAGTGGGAAGGTACCATGATTATGGAACTTCCTGGATGAGGAAAGGGAAGAGAGCTCACATATTTCAAAGCACTTTTTTTTTTTTTTGCAGAAAAGGAACTTTAATACTAGTGCTATTTTGTTTAGAAGGCTTTCTTTCACAATGTAAGACACAATATTTTAAAATATTTAATAGCAGGTCTAGACCTAAGAAAACAATTTTTTAGCTTTAAGTTTTTTTTACTCAATTTTATAAGAGTAAGTCAAACAGTATTACTATAAAATTATAAAACCTTTATCAAAAATCACTGATTTTTATGTGAAGCTGCTTCTTGACATAGCCTCTGAAGGCACTGTTTCCATCTAACTAGTGCTATACAGGATAAGCACTGCTCTGCTACCCATAAAGTCAGCGTTTCAAACCCACAGTCACTCCTATGAGTAGGAACTGACTTGACAACAGCAACCATTCCCCAAAGGATAATGCGCTCTTCTATTTACTTAATGTTAACAGCTGTTTTTGGGCATCTTTTAAAGAACTTTTTGTGAACTGGGTGATAGAGGATTACTTTTCCATTCAATAATTCATACATTTTTGTTTCATGTCATTAACTGCGATCCCCAGTGTAATATTACTTATCCCACCTCCCCTATGTTTCCTGTTTCTACTCCAGAAGAGTCATAATAGACTTAATGGTAGTGGGTTGGTTTGGGTTTTCTTTCCTAACTCTCCTGAACTGTATGCCTAGGTAAATGCTTTGGATCTCAAATGATTGATTATTCTAAGGTGTGCATACCTCCTTAGTATTACTGTTCCCCATAGAAACCTACAGAAATTTAAGCAATGAGCTATTTCAGACTTGAATCGTGACTAAGGGTCATAGTCTCAAGTTCCACGGGTCTCTATCTGGCCAATTTTATTACCACTGTATCCAGTGGTCCCCTTTAGAGAAATGAGTTCTGCTGGTCTTAGGATCATGGAGACTGATGTGCACATGATCCATTAGAGTAATTATTTTCATGCATCTTCAATTTTATTTACTATTCTTTCCAACAGGTAAGGAAAGTCCAGTAGTTGTACTTTCCCTATGATATACAACTTACAAGATATTTTGTTATGTCTAAAGTTTGCTTAACTTTGTCCCCTGTATGCTCCACCACATTTATGGGCATATTTGCAACAAAAGTAAATAGCCATATACAAATATTCTCTGTCAAACATGTATCTCATGGATATAATCTCATTTTCCCATCCATACCCTTTCAGTATGGTATCCCAGCCTAAGTTTCCATCTGTGCATTTTCTCATAAGTCACCTTTCAGACAGGACTGCGTGTATAATTCACTTAGCCCTGTTGCCTTTTACCCTTGTACTCATCTCAGTATCTTATGCCTCTATCATTTTTTTTTGCTGATCTCTCTCTTAACTGTACACTTAATTCTCCTATTTCACTGTTTATGGATGTACCAAATTTAACCCATTTTCCCACTGATGGAAATTTAGGCTGTTTCCATCTTCTTGCTATTTCATCATATATTGCTGGCCACCTGAATGTCTTTGGTGAAGTGTCTGTCCATGTCCTTTGCCTATTTTCTAATTGGATTACTTGTCTTGTTGAAATTTCCTATAAAGATTAGTCCCTTGTCTGATATGTTACTGAGCTCTGGAATCTCTGAGGGACTCAAACATGTTCCTTTTGAATGTTCTTTGAGTATTGGGGAAAAAAGAAGTCTGAAGAAGCAAGATCAAGGATATAGGGTGGATGGAGCAAGGTTTCCTAACAAAATTCTTGTAGAATAGTCCTTGCTACTCTTGAAGAATGAGCAAGTCACTGGTGTGATGGAAAATAATTTTCTTGGCACAACTCTCCTAGCTTTTAATCACCAGTGCGGTTTTCAATTTTCTTAAAATTTCTTCCTAATACAGCCCCCAGGATTCTTCTGTGTCCTTCAACTGAATCTATCAAGAATATCCCTTTGGTATCAAAAAACAAAACAAAACAAAGAAAGAAAAAAAAAAAAAAAAAACCCAGCCATAATCTTCTGAGCTGACCTCTCTGCCTTGAAATTTACTGGTCCACCAGATCCCCACAGAAACCAGATTTGGTTCAATCTGTTTGTTTTTTTGGAAGGTCCCCTAATGAGATTAAGTGTATTACTGAGATAACTTGTCTGCTGCTATTCACTTATTGCAGAGGTATATTTAAATATTTAAATAAGGACTTTTTATTTAGAATAAACCCATACATGTGAACTGGAAACCCCAGTAGCAATACTTTCTGATTCTTAGGCTATTTATAACGTGTGTGGTGAAAGTGTATAATTACAGATTCCCACTTAAGAGTTTGCTTGCTTTAAATTAGTATTTATGTAAGAATTACTTATTCACAAAAATAAAGACTTTATTCTCCCCTAAGGGACTTCTAAATTCAGAACTGAAGTGTAGGACTCTAAAGCAGAATAAAGGCGTGCTGGTAGTGTAGTGGTTACGAGTTAGGTTGCTAACCTCAAGGTTAGCAGTTTGAAACTACCATCTGTTCCTTGAGAGAAATATGAGGCTTTCTATTCCTGTAAAGATTTACAACCTCAGAAACCCTATACAGGGCTGCTAAGAGTCAGAACAGACTCCACAGCACATAAGCAAGCAACCAAAGTAGGATAAGCACTGGACTAATTGCAAGGTTGGTGGTTCAAACCCACCAGCTACTCCTTATAAACCCTATACAGGGTCAGCATTAAACACGACAGCATTTAATAACAACAAAGGTATCTTAACTCAAAATGCTGTCAACATGTTCAGCCCTCAAACTCTGCTATAGCTTTCTTAAACATGTGCACTTTGCTTATTTTAATTTGTTGTTGTTATGTGCCTTCGAGTTGGTTCTGACCGATAGTGACCCTGAACAGGGTTTTTTCGAGGCTGTAAATCTTTACGGGAGCAGAAAGCCTCATCTTTCTCCTGTGGAGCAACCGGTAGTTTCGAACTGGTGACCTTGTAGTTCACAGCCCGATTCATAGTCACTATGTTACCAGAGCTCCTTAATTTTTTTAATTAGGTGCACTTAAATTGTCTTTAATTGACAAGCTAATCTTCATTAAAGGTAAACCACCAATTACTGCCAAAAATGGTGAACAGTCATCTAGTTATTTTTGCAAATGATAAAAGTGGCTGCCAAAAGTTAGGATATTTACCACTAAGGTTTAGTTCATGAAACCATGGGCTATCAAAGCGAGACAAGTAATTATGTGTTGCTAAGTGTCATTTAGTTGATTTCGACCCATAACGACCTTGTATAGGGTTTCCAAGGAGCAGCTGGTGAGTTTGAATCACTGACCTTGCAATTCACATAACTTTGCAGTCTGACGCATTAGCCCACAGCGCCACACCACGCAGTCAACAAAAATAGTCTCAATGACCTTGGAAACTCAACTGTTGTTAAGTGCCATGGGGTTGGTTACTAGGTTATGTTAGTAAATAACTACATGGGCAACTGCTGAAACAGATTCTTATAGCCTCCTAGAAATTAGATGGTGTTGTTGGTGTTAAGTGCCATCAAATTGGTTCCAACTCACAGTGACCCTTTATAGGGTTTCCGAGGAGTGGCTGGTGTGTTTGAACCTCTAACCTTGTGGTTCAAACTAACCTTGTGGTCCCAGTGCATTATTCTACAGTGCCACATCAGGACTCCTTCGAAAGGCCATAGTGCTGTTAAGAAATATCAACTAAAGTTCTTTTAGTTAATCAACAGTCAAAGTAATTAATGGAAACATTACAGAAGGCCATTAATCAATTTAATATTTGATAAAAAAGATTATATTTTCATAGTTAACTGCTTAGGGAAGGAGGAGATCAATTCAAGTTATGAGATCATTCACAAATTAGGTACTTTCAGTAAATTTACCATATGAAATTTTGAAGATACCTACCAGCTGCTTGGGATTGCATAAAATTCCCTACTCCTGTAAGATTAATAACAGCAGCTTGCTGAGCAGACAAGACCTGTTCTTGACTGGTTGAATCTTGTTCAGAATCCTGAATAGAAAAATAATAAATGATTTGTACAAAAAGAAAGACAAATCTGAGTTGATAAAAAGACTACTGCTGTTGATTTTTGGTTCTGTTGCTGGTTTATGACTTAGGAGACCATGTTTTATAGAGTAGAGCTACTCCAGGGTTTTCTTGGCTGTAATCTTTATAGAAGCAGATCACTAGGCCTGTTTTTTCCATGGTATTGTTGGGTTTGAATAGCTAACCATTCTGGACTTGTAACAAGAATAACAAATAAAAGACGTCAAGTGCACTTAAAAAATTAGTAAAGATAGACTTATGGTATTTTGAAAGCAAGAAAATATAACAATTTTTCAGAATTGATTCTGTATTTGTTTGATGTTCTATTAATAATTTCTAAGACTTTTCTAAACCTTCATTAGATTTATTTTCTTAAAGCTCAAAACAGTTTTTGCAATATAATATTAGTGTGGCACTGTGGGCTAATGCGCTGGACCACAAAATTGGCAGTTCAAGCTCACCAACCACTCTTTGGAAAACCCTATATAGGGTTGGTATGGGTCGGAACTGACTCAATGGCACTTAACAACAACAACAATGGAACTTCTAGCTAGCACAGTATATAGGGCATATGATTTATAAAAGAAAAAAAAACTGTCCTAACTGCAAATGACATGACTCTCTCTATGTAGAAAATTACAAGGGATCTAAAAAAATACACTTACTTAAGTGAGTGCATTAAAAACAAGATCAACAAAAATCAATTCTTAATACAAGCAAATGAAAATGTGTAGAAACGAACATTAAAAAATACTATTTACAACTGCTAGAACAAAGAAAAACATAAATCAACAAACACAGAAGATTTGTACATTAAAAACTAGAAATAGCTGATGAAATCATGGAGAGATAGTCTTCATATTAAAGATGTTAATTACCCCCAATTTTATGCTTATTTAAAGGAACTCAATTCCTTTAAATAAGCATAAAAATCCAGAATGTTTTTTTTTAATATTGTTGTTGTTAAGTGCTGTTGTGTCGATTCTGACCCATAGCGACCCTGTATAGAGTGTCCAAGGAGTAGCTGGTGAGCTTGAACTACCTACCTTGCAGTTCAAACGGCTTTGTAGTCAGGCGCATTAACCCACAGCGCCACACCAGGGCTCCTCTGTACATATTGGCAATTTTAAATTTCTATACTGATATAGTTAGAACAGCTAAAATAATTTTGAAGAAGATAAAGTGGGAAGAATCACTACCTAATTTTTAAGTCTTAACGTAATCAAGTGATATTCACAATGGACAGATACATAGGTTAATGGAACCCACACAATTACAATCCTATTATTTTGACAAAGGAACAAAAGTGATTTCAATATAAGAAGAATGGTACTGGAATAATTGAACATTCATAGCCAAAAAATGTTACCTTATACAAGAATTAAATGAAAATGGCTCATAGGCTTAAATGTAAAACTGTAAAGCTGTTAGAAGAAAGGGAGAAAAATCTTTGAAAACTAGAATTAACTAGAATTAGGTGAAGAGTTTGTAGATGCCAACTCTTAAAAGAAAAAGAAATTAAAATAAAAGAAAAAGAACTTAAGGTTTCATCACAATTAAAAACTTTTGCTGAGTAAGAAATCCTTTGTTACTACTGAAAATAATCCTTTGTTACTACTGAAAACATATATATATATAACAAAGGAATATAATATAAGCTAAACATTTCAAATATTAAAACACATTTGTTATGAGGGCACCTCGCAGGATTACAGAAATTTCCTCCTTTAAACCAAAGTTCGCTCTCCTTTATTCCCAGTAAATGGTAGTTTGGTCAAATTCATTATTTTAAATAGTTATGACATAAGAGTAAAGATGAAAAGGGTATAGTATAGAAAAAGTTGTTAGAGATAAATTAAAAAACAAACCAACTGTCATCGAGTCAAATTTGATTAAAAGCAATCCTATGTAGGGTTTCTGAGGATGTGACCTTTCAGAAGTAGATGGCTAGGACTTACTTCCTACGTCACGTAGCCTTGAACTACCAACCTTTTGGTTAGTAATCCAGTGTGTGCCATTTGCACCAATGAGGAACACCTACATATGGAAAGAAGGGAGGAAAATTGTTTCCTGTGGAAACCAAAGAATAACATGACACCATATTTTCTTGTTTACCTCACAAAAATCAGCATTCATAAGACACTAAACAGAAGGCAGAACTGACAAGACAGACAAGACTCCTGGCAAACTTGGACCCCTGTTCATAAAATGAAACAAAAGTAAAAAGCAGACTACAGACTCTTCATAATAGAGAAATTACAAAGCACAACAACAGCAAAATGCAAAAACAACAAACAAGAACCCTAAAAAATCCACAAAGCTAAAAAAACTGCAAGACATTACTGTTAGGAAACAGGAGGAAAATTAGTGGCAGTGGAAAAGGGGCATCGGGAAAAGATCAATACAAGTATAAAAAAACCTCCAAATACACAGGACAGGTGGGGCAGGATATAAACAAGATTCAAAAAAGACTTGTGAACTCTTCCTCCTTATACAGTTACCAAGTGGGGATTGTTAACCACTTGGTAAGGGTTAACCAGTTTTAGCGCTCCTTTTTTGAAGCCTGGTGGAACTGTTTTGCAGTTTAACTTCTCTTTATAAAATATCTTAGACTGCGAACATGTAGAGACAGCTGTCTATGGCATGTCTACATCTTTCTCCTACTCATAAAGATGGCTGGGTCACCATCTCTTTAGTATGGCTGTGTTAAGAGTTAGTAACAACCACCCAAGAAACAGAGAACTGTATTATAGCCTGATATAATTCTAGTAAAAGCATATAAAAGGTAGAAAGTGCCTACCTGTTCCCCTGGTTGCTGAGGACTAGAAGTTGTGGGTTGAGGAGGTTGTTGTGGAGACAACTGAGATAGCTGCTGCTGCTGCACAGTATTAAAAATGAGTGAGCCACCAGGAAGCTATTAAGGATTGAAACAAAAATTAATTAGCCAAATTCACATTGTTTTACAGGAAATTAAATTTACTAATTGTACAAATATTTTTAGGGCATAAGAGACCTTGGGTGGTATAAACAATGTCCTTGACTACTAACCAAAAAGTTGGTAGTCTGAACTAACCTGGAGGCATTTACAGAAAGTCCTGTTGATCTACTTATGAAAAATCAGTTACTGAAAACCATGGAGTACAGTTACATGAAGACTTTTCTATAAAGTTCCTATTACATGTATGTTATAAAAGATAACACATAAACTTCAAAATTGTTTTGTAGCATACTAAACTCACACTAACTAGATGTCGTTGTTGTTAGGTGCCAATGAGTCGGTATCAACTCATAGCGACCTTATGCACAGCAGAACGAAACACTGTCCAATCCTGGGCCAACCTCACTATTGTTGCCACGCTTGAGTCCATCAATGCTAATGCTGCCAACATGGCCAATCCATCTCGTTGGGGTCTTCCTCTTTTTCTCTGACCCTCCACCTTATCAAACATGGTATCCTTCTCCAGTGACTGGTCCCTCCTGACAATATGTTCAAAGTATGAGAGACGAAGTTTGGCCATCCAGGCCTCCAAGGAGCACTCTGGCTGCACTTCTTCCAAAACGGATCTATTGGTTCTTTTGCCAATCCATTGCACTTTCAATATTCTCCTCCAACACCATAACTCAAAGGTTCTTCTACGGTCCTCCTTATTCACTTTCTAGCTTTCGCATGCCTATGAGGTGATTGAAAATACCACGGCTTGGGTCATGGGCACCTTAGTACTCAAGCTGACATCTTTGCTCTTCCACACTTTAAAAAGTCTTGTGCAGCAGATTTGCCCAATGCAATACGTCATCTGATTTCTTGACTGCTGCTTCTGTGAGTGTTGACAGTTGATCCAAGAAGAATGAAGTCCTTGACAACTTCAATCTTTTCTCCGTTTATAAGAATGTTGTTTATTGATCCAGTGGTGAGGATTTTTGTTTTCTTTACATTGAGATGTAATCCATATATCGAAAGCTGTACTCTTTAATCTTCATCAGTAAATGTTTTAGGTCCTCTTCACTTTCAGTAAGCCAAGGTTGTATCATCTGCATATCACCAATGGATATTATCCTATCACAGACAGCATTGTACCTCATGACTGATCTGGTTATGTTCTTTCTGACAATGAATGTAACACCATTCTGCTTCAATTTGTCATTTCCGGCATAGTAAACAATGTGGTCATCGGATTTAAAATGGCCAATACCAGTCCATTTCAGCTCCCTAATGCCTAAGGTATCAATGTTTATGCGTTCCATTTCATTTCTGACAACTTCCAATTTTCCCAGGTTCAAATTTCATATATTCCATGTTCTGATTTTCAATCCTTCAAGGAAGGATTGGAAAATATAGCCCCGGTGATAGAAAAGAGCTGGAGATCGCATAATAAGATTTCTACAAGACCAATGATTTGTTCATTTCAAATACCTTTTTTAAACAGCATAAAAGACGACTATACACATGGACCTCACCAGATGAATACACAGAAATCAAATTGACTACATCTATGGAAAAGGACAGTGGAAAAGCTCCGTATCATCAGCAAAAACAAGGCCAGGGCAGACTGTGGAACAGACAGACCTTCAATTGCTCAAATATAAATTCATACTCAAGCTGAAGAAAACGAAAAGTCCATGAGAGCCAAAAAAACGACTTTGAATTAGGGAAGGTGTGCCACCACAGGGCTATTTTCTTCCACAATACTTATTCAATCTGTATTCTGAGAAAATAATCTGAGAAGCTGGGATATATGAAGAAAAACTGGCATCAGGATTAGAGGAAGACTCATTAACAACCTGCATTATGCAGATGATAAAATCATGTTTGCTGAAAGTGAAGAGGACTTAAAATACTTATTGATCAAGATAAAAAAACCACAGCTTTCAGTATGGATTGCACTTCAATGTAAAGAAAACAAAAATCCTCACAGGTGGACCAATAAACAACATTCTTATAAACGGAGAATAGATTGACGTTGTCAAGGACTTCATTCTTCTTGAATCAACCATTAATACTCATGGAAGCAGCAGTCAAGAAATCAAATGACTTATTGCATTAGGCAAATCTGCTGCACAAGTCCTTTTTTAAAGTGTTGAAGAGCAAAGATATGAGCTTTAAAACTAAGGTGTGCCGGACTCAAGCCACGGTTATTATCAATAACCTCACATACACGAAAGTTAGAGAATAAGAGGACCGTAGAAAAATTAATGCATTTGAGTTATGGTGTTGGAGAATACCATGGACTGTCAAAAGAACAAATATACACCTGTGTTGGATGAAGTACAGCCAGCCAGAGTGCTCCTTGGAAGCCAGGATGGCCAGATTTTGTCTCTAATACTTCTGACATGTTGTAAGGAGGGTCTAGTCACTGGAGAAGGATATCATTTTTGGTAAGGTGGAGGGTCAGAGTAAAAGCAGAAGACCCCCAGTGAGATGGATTAGCTAAGTGGCAGCATCAATGGGCTCAAGCGTAGCAATGACTGTGAGGTTTGCCCAGGACTGGGCAAAGTTTTGTTCTGTTGTGCATATGGTCGCTATGAGTTGGTACCAACTTGATGGCACCTAACAACAATAACAACAAGTGCTTTGAAGTCCATAAGAGAAAAATATAAGCAAATGCCAAATACAGAACATTTAGGTCTTTAGAAAGTAAAATAAGTTATTCGAGGCTAATGATATCCACACTTGTTGTTGCCATTAAGTGCTGTCGAATAGGTCCCTACTTACAGCAACCCTATATAGGGTTTGTTTCAGAGGAGTAGCTGGTGGGTTTAAACTGCCGACCCTATGGTTTGAAGTCTCATGCTGATCCTATAGCACACCAGGAATCCACCTAGCACAGTACAAAGGAGTCCTGATAGCAGTTCTAACCTACCCAATGGCTCTGCAGAAGGAAGACCTAGTAATCTGCTTCCATAAAGATTACTACTTAGAAAACCCTATGGGGCCGTTCCACTCTATCGCATAAGGTCGCTATGAGCAGAAATCGTCAATGGCAATGAAGAGCAACAACAGCATAGTTCAATGTTAGCAATATGCAGGAAAGTATGTTAAATAAAGCAACGTGATCCATGATCAAGTAAATTATTATGCAATTATAGTCTGCAAGTACTGATACTGTTTGCATCTTATATACTAAACTCTGTCATACATGCATTTCCCAATTTTGTATTTCCTGAATACCAGGTTGATGTAATTGTCATTTTCCCACAGTCCATAGTTAACACTATTTCATGTCTCCATATCATCATTTCTACCTTTTCTAAGTTACTGTTAAGTGCCAACGAGTCGGTTCTGACTCCTAGTGACCCTGTATAGGATTTCACACTTATAATCTCATTCATTCTATTAGAATATGACACCCTTTAAATTAAAGAAAATAGCATAATACCTGGAATATCATAGGTTCATAATGTGTACTAAATTCTTTACCTTCTATTTCTCTTTATGAATATGTTGATACTAACATTAATGTTTAAGAAAAGCATTATTATTAGATATTATGATATGCTGGTAACCCACAGGTTGGTGGTTCAGTTTACCAAGAGGTGCCTCATAAGAAAGGTGTTGCAATCTACTACTGAAAAATCAGCCACTGAAACTCCTATGGAACACAATTCTAGTGAGGCATACATGGGGTTACTATGAGTTAGAACTGGCTTGAAGCCCACCTGTTTTATTTTTTTAATCCTACAAACATTATTTAAAAGACTACAAAAAATTTGGCATGGTATGTGAAATGCTACTTTCCTTAGATAAAGAACATATATCTATTTAAAATGTATGAACCAGGAATGATTTTGGAATTGTACACACGACTGCTATCAGAGGTAAGTACTCTATGATAGTGTCAATTCTTCCTGTTGGAACAGCTAGTTCTTGATTAGGCAGGAGTACTGGATCCAATGAAAATGAAGGACATAGGATATTGACACTCCTTATTCATGTGACCATTAATAACCAGACTCTTAGAAGATTCTGTGTAGATCTCAAAATTCCGTATGTTGGAGAAATTAAAAACCATAACAATGCTTATCAAAAGCAGAATTTCATGTTTACCTGGAGTAGATTTAAGGGTCTGAGACTGGAAGTATTTTTTAAACCAAATGGAACACCTGCTAAATAAAACACATAATTATAACAGGGAATTTAAACTTTATTATACATGAAAATAATTTCTATTTTAGTATGCATAACTATAGGAGTCCTGGTGTACAATGGTTGTTAAGCATTTGGTTGCTAACTGAAGACTAGTGGCTCACACCCACCTAAACAGCTGGGCGGGAGAAAAAGACTTGGAGATGTGCTCATAAAAACTACAGCCTAGGAAACCCTATGGGGCAGTTCTCTGTCACATGGGCTACCCATGAGTCAGAACTGACTCGATGGTAACTAACAACATGAATAACTAGAACACTGTAAATATTCTCTGCTCAGAGTGTGCATTGTCTCTGCATTTCACCTTTTTGTGAAACAATACAAATACTCTTCACACGTCTTTGTTTCCGTTATAAGCAAAAACAGGTACCTATGTACATCTTTCATGAAAACCAAGTGGTGTAAAGAGAACTTTCAAAAAGCGGGGGATACCTATATTACTATCTTTATTTTATTAATATGGAAAATAAAGCCGAAAAGGAAAGATTACATAGCTGGTGACTTGTTCAACTGGGATTAAAGCTTAGGAAGTTTAACCTCAGAATCCAGCTGTTTCACAGACATACTATCTATGTTGCCTCTCCATGCACACTGTACTTTTTCAAAATATATTTACTTTACCTGGAATATAACTACTACTGACAATAAGGGTACTAAAGTTAATTTCATTACAATGTTTAAAAGGTAATGGAATTTACAGGATTATCAAGGTTTTTTCCCACAGATTGATTAGTATAATAAATGTAATGCAAAGTACCAGCAAGTTGGTTCCGACTCATAGTGACCCTATGTCGGGTTTCTGAGGAGCAGCTGATGAGTTTGAACCACTGACCTTGCAGTTCAAACCGACCTTGCGGTCCAGCACTTATCCTATGAAATAGCTTCAAATTCAAGTATCAGTAATTTAAAGACTTGAAAAAAACCTGAGAAATAATATTTTATGAAATGTTAATGCCTTTAATTGTATCCTTAAAATGACATTAAGTGAGGCTATACTTGTAATTCTTTAGAGGTTATTATTTCCAATATTCTAACCTGCTTGGGAAGCTGGCAGTGCACTTGGTAGGAGACCGCCTGAGGGAAGAAGGCCACTAAGATTAATTCCTGCAGTAGTTAGTGCACCAGTGTTACAGCCCAGCATGGGGTTTGAACCACTCATCAAAGCCTGGGCTCCACTGTAAAATAAAGACAAAGCATTAAACTTGCATTGCAAGAATAAAATCAAACAAGCAATTAACCCCTGCACTTAGGAAAATAAAAAAGAAAACCAACTATTACCAAACAATTAGAAAGTAGTTCTCTGTCCTAAGTAATAAAATGATTTTAGGATCAGTTTTACTTTTATGCTAGGAAGTGTTACCAAGGTTGGCTAAATTAAGTACTAAGCATTTACCAACGTGGAACATTAATTTGGAAGAGTAAAGTACTGTGAATTAAAAGATGGTAAACCAGAAGATAAACAGAAAACCAAAGCTGCAGTCTATGTGAAGCATCATTTTAGTACAAGTGACAGATTTATTACTTAAAAGACGTATGTTGAGAGAGCTTTCACCTGTACCTTTTTTCTTTCAGTCTGAGTAAATAATTTATTCTTAATTTTATAAATTAAAATTAATTTGTTTAGACTAGTGAGAATATACTTTTTAAAAACATCATTGCAAACTTACCAAACAGAGCCCACTACATTGATGAAGTTAAGTCCAGCAGAGTTTGCCATGACTTGGGTGGCTGTGGTTCCTGTAGTTATAGATGTTACCATGGTGGAAAGAGGAATGGTTGTTACAGGCATTGCCTGGCTCAGAGACTTTTGCTGCTGAGCAAACTGAGTTAACAAAGTGGGCTGAGGGGTGAAGCCTGAATCTTGGGAAGTAGGGGTGATAGAAAGGGTAATTGGAATTGAGCTCTGAGCATCAGGAGGATATGGGGTCGATGAAGGGGTTGGTGTAGGAGTAGATGGCTTAGGAGTTCCAGATCCTGCTCATTGAGAAAAATAAAAATTGCTAGTTTGTTATAAATGGCCAGTCCTTTTAAAAATAAGGTTAATGGAATCTTACTTAGCACTGATAATTTGTTCCAGTTTTTTTTTTAAAGCAGTAAACTGCAAGTGTTAATGTCTACACATGATACATGAGTGTGCTACACTCAATTACAATTAAGGATGCAGTATATCACCTAAGTCTCATTAGAGATGCTATTAAAATGACAGTAAAAATCCACATTTGTATTTATTTTACCACAATACCCACATAAGTTCATTTTCTACATGCTGCCTTTGGCCTAAAAAGCTTACAAAGAAATTTGAATAACTTTTTTTGTTATTTGTGATGTCACTATTTGAGGACTTCATTTAATGTTGCATGTTTTCTGCTATAGTCTCAGGCTAACTAAAAACATTTTATAAACTGCATTATGTTAATAATCATGTCTGGCACCTAAATATGCATGTTTAATTCTTAACACATTAAAATTATCCTAACAAACTGATAAAAAAACAGTAATAAAGCAAGAATATGATAGGTAATACTGCATCTTTAACAGTAACTGTGTACTTCTGTTTAAATGTAGAATGTATAAAAATCTGTTGTGAATGAAGTATGCACAGTTTAAAAAACATTAAAAACAAAAACAAAAAACAAAAAACAAAAAAGTAAAACCAAAAGCTCTTGAGGTGTTTTCTTTTTTAGCTTTCATGTCCTGCAGAAAGAAAGGAAAGAAATGTGAATGTCCAGAAGCTGTCATTCAACCCTTACTTAAAGTAACAACTGTGTGCAGTAGATTAACATAATCTATACCCACAACATATGTAGTGTGAATAAGACTTTCAGGAAATTTATAAAGTTTTTCTTTGTGCAAAACAAGAAGGCAGAAAAATTACACCTTTTGAGCTATCAAGATGAAGATGTTTACATCTAATACAAAGACCAGTCTATCACTGTGCAGTGTACTAAAACTTCCAGCACATGTCAACTAACAACAAAAAAAAATCTGAAAAACTGGAATGCCTTTTCTTTTTATGCACTGGTACCTACAGTACCTCAGATACCTACTAATTGGAAGAAAGTCTCTCAAATTCATACTAGAATTCTTATATAACTCTTCTTGATTATTTAAAAAAAAAAAATCAGTAGTGAAAATTATAATTATCTTCAGAATGATGCTTTATGATCATCACGTTAGAAGCCTAACGATTTATAAGAATGTAGGAGGTGTTTATGAAAAATCAGAATTTAATTTATTGTACTGAATAATATAAACATCGGACTGCAGTGATAACTCATGATATATTTTTTCTGTATCAGCTGCATAATTTACATAAATGATCCTTCTTGTTGTTGTTGTGTGCTGTGGAGTCGGTTCCGACTCATAGCGACCCTGTACAGGGTTTCCGAGGCTGTAAATCTTTACGGGAGCAGAATGCCTCGTCTTTCTCCCCCGGAACAGCTGGTAGTTTCGAACTGTTGACCTTGCGGCTTGCAGCCCGATTCGTAACCACTATGCTACCGTACGCTAAATTGAAAAATAAGATTTTGTAACTTTATTGTCACATATAACTACCAGATTATTTTTTATGGAGATGTGCAGGTTGCAAGTCTTTAAGAAAGGTATACACAGAGTGCATACTTAGATACAGAAAAACACAAGTACAATAAACACATAATACAATCAACAAGAAATATGCTTGAAGTTTCTCACAATTTATACATTTTGGACACAGAGTACATTTGGAGTTCACTGGTAAAAAGAACTGCCCTAAGAAACACTAATGCAAAAGCTTATGAAGATTTAAGTCATGACTCACTTTGTGATGAGCTGGCAGGTGACAAGGCAGCTGGAGAAAGCATGCTAACTTGACTGAGATCCACAGATGACTTCCGAGACAGACTTGGTGGCTTAGAAGCAGGAGGAGGAGTTGGAGATTTAAGAAAGCTGCTTGTCTGCTGTGGAGTAAAATAATTACCTAAAAGAAAAATATAAAAGTTATTTCCTAGATTTATAATTTAAACTTCTGTGAATTATGTAAAACAAATGGGTAACATTTTAAAAACAGATTAAAGTCATATGATACTTCTTACTCTAGATCACAGAAAATTAAAGAATGTAATACCTGAGGAACTATTTCCTGAGCTTGAGGGAAGTTTGATAGGTGGAGGCCGATGCTTTACTCCCTTACCCAATACTGAAGACTGGACTGACATGGTCTCAGGCTGCTAAGAGAAAATGACAGTATACACACTTGCTAAAATTAACATTATCAGAAATTTACAAATTAAAGTCAAACTAACTCCTAGATTAAAGTACACAATCGAAAACTCCGCAAAGTACTTGTTGTAAAGTAGCTACAGATATTATAGCTATCACAGAGAAACTTAAGTTTCACACAATGAAATCCATGAAATAGAGTATACAGAAAGTATTAAAAAATGCTTTTTGAGTGGTAGCGTAGGGATAAAGAGTGTGAGGGAGAAGGGCAGAGGGATGACATGAAGGTAAAGCTTCCATACTGCCATACCTATTCCTTTAACAGGAAAATGCTAACTGTTGAAGACAGGTGATTAGTACACAAGTATTCATTATACTTTTTTCTCTAATTTTGCATATATTTGAAAATTTTTATTATAAAAGTTAAAAATAAAAACAAAATCCAATGCTCCACACCACCCTTGTTCCAAATTTCTTTAGAATTTCTCAGATTTCTTGAGTCACAAACAAGTAACAGTGATTAAATATACTTCTGTTTCTTTCCCTGGAGAACGCTGACTCAGACTGATGGAGCCACTGGAACTATGTGACATCTTAACAGGGCATTTGGCTTCATTCTGGACCAATTCCTGGTACTGATTGACTACCCTGAAATACCAGGGGAAAAATAAGTAAGGACTAGATAAATGTGTTTTAAAAACATATTTATTATAGAGAAACTAATGTACTGTAATTAAAAAATAATAATTCCATCAAAATTAACTCAGAAATTAGCATTAGGCAATTTATCGTTGTGTTAAAAAAGATTCTTTGAATCTCTTCAATGATAAATTAATCTTCAAAATATTTTGCATATTAACATTCATAGAGACTTTCAATATCTTGTTTCTAATACATGTCATAGCGATTAAATAATCAATAAGTAGCTAAATTATTCATTAACTTCCACCTACATTCTGATGAAAATACTACAAATAAACTATCTTCATTAGTTGCAGTGACTATGTCAAGTTTTCTTACTAAAAACAAACCTATATTTTAAACATTGCTTTAATGATTTCCCCCTATTTTATGCAAAAACATTATCGGTATTAAAAATCAGGAAAAAGGAATTAAGTCCCTCCAAATCTCATACTACAAAAATAATCACTCCTAATCATTCTTTGGAGTCCTGGTGTGGTGCTGTGGGCTAATGCGTCAGACTGCAAAGTTGTTTGAACTGCGAGGTCGGTGGTTCAAGCTCACAAACTGCTCCTTGGAAACCCTATACAGGGTTGCTATGGGTTGGAATTGACTCAACGGCACTTAACAACAACAAAAATCATTATTTAGATATAAACAGAGGCCCTTAAATACTAAACTGGTATGTCTAACCAATTACTGACCCAATAAGAATCAAAGCTTATTATTTCTAATAGAATACTCATTAGCCTAAAAGAATAAAATGTTTTTCATACCTATCCAGGTAAACAACAAAGATAAATATTTTTACCTCTGAGCATCAGTCTTTGATCCAATAACAAACCTAAAATAGTAAAAACAACACAAAAAGTATTAGTTTATTTTAAAAGAGCCGTGAAATTACTTCTAAATGTTTCATATTTTAGAGATAGTAATTTTATGAATTTAAAATATAGCAAGATATCATGTAAAAGTTTAAAAAATTCATTTAAACTTGCAAAAGTAATGACCAAGTTTCATATGCATTATGAACTAATCATACTAGTGGCTGAGTTCATAACGTTAAAGGGAGATTTATTTTGGCACAAAGCTTAAATATCAAACAAATTGGAGCAAAAGTTACTATGAGCTATATCCCCTCCAAGTGTTTGCTCTAAAAGTAAAATCACATGTTCTGTGTGCAAAGCCTTGGGCCTTCTCACTTTAACCTTCGATTTCAAAGCTATTATTAATATCTACAAAACCTTAGAATATACTTTAGACAAGTTTAAAAAAGAAAGTATTACCAATACTTTTTTGAAGAGTTTAACACTTATACATTTTCTTAACAATTTAAAATCATGAGTTTATTTTTTTAGTTACCAATTTGAATGATCATCTGGGGAGGAGCTGAAATATAAAAAACAAAACAACACTTGGTTAATGCAGTTCAAAGTTCAACTTCAAAGTTATCAAGTATGTAACTTATGAATATAAAACAAAGACAGGAAGATAATAAATCATGTAGCTTTCTTGCAGTGATACTCTGAGATAAAGAAAAAAATAGATCCTCTTCTTGTCAAACAATTCAGTCAGTTGGCTTGTTAGACTAACATCTTTCTACTTTAATGAAAATACGTACCCTCAAGTTCTAGAAAGGTAAATATACACTAACTTAAAATAACTGATTTATGTTTTTAATGGGATTCTTTCTAAATATGAGGGGGGGCTTCAAAAACTTTGTGGAAAAATTCCGTTCTTTCAGTTCCATTTTCCATGAACCTATTGAAGCACTATCATAAAGTTAATAAAAAATCTGACCTTAGTACTATGTAAAAAACATAAAGCTGTAATGGGTTTTAAGGAAAAAATTAGCTGAGAATTCTGACTGCTGTTGCTGTTTATCCTCCCATCAACCTTTACCTACTAGGTAGTGGTGAAATTATTCTTTAAAAACTGCCTTTCTACTATAGTTACAATCAAGATGGCGGATCGGGTAGGCGGGCAGTGAGGAGCTCCGTCACCAACAACACAGAATACCAGGCCAAGCAGCTTTAGGGGATGGTGCTAAAACTCTGAACCACATATAAAGGAATATTTAGAAGATTGGAAGGCTTACAGCTAGGGGAATGTGTAGGAGAAATCAAGAAATCCATTGCTTTCTAATTCAAGATGCTTAGCTATTCCTGGAGCCGCCATTTTGGGAGGGAACAAGTGGGGGAAGGATCAGAACAGCTACTAATGCCTGACAGAACCGAGGAGATACGTGTGGATATTAATTTTTTTGGGTATCTATCCATTGACTGCACACCTCCATTGTGGTAACTAGAGGGAATACCTGAGTGAACGGATACCCCACCCCGACACCTGGAGGGTTCTATTATACACATGCATAGATCTCCTCGAAATTTAAAGTGACAGTTTCTACATAAAACCAAAAGGCCACCACTCATCTGTCTGTCATACTGTGGTGGCTTATGAGTTGCAGTGATTCTGAGGGCTATGCCATTGGTATTTTAAATAACCAGCACAGTCACCTATGGTGGACAGGTTTCAGATGAGCTTCCAGACTAGGAGGAAAAAGTGACGAACTACTTCTGAATATTTAGTCACTGAAAACCTTATGAATAGCAGAGAAACACTGTTAGATACAGTGCCGGAAAATGACCCCTCAGGTTGGAAGGCACTCAAAATGCGACTGGGGAAGAGATGCCTCCTCAAAATAGAATTGACTATGATGATGTGAATGGAGCTAAGCTCGTTGGAGAAAAGCTCACAGAACCTTCATTTGCTGATGGGGCACAACTCAAAATTAAGAGAAACATCTGTAAGCATCCACTGAAAATCGGAACATGGAATGTACGAGCTATGAATCTGGGAAAATTGGAAGTTGTCAAAAATGAAATGGAACGCATAAACATCGATATCTAAGGATGAAATGGACTGGTATTGGCCATTTTGACTCTGGCAACCACATGGTTTACTATGCC